CGGCGGGCCACACAAGTCGGCTTGGCGGGCCGCATTTGGCCCCCGGGCCTTGAGTTTGACACGTATGCTTTATACAACACTATATTTCCACTCTTTTCCATACGGTCCATGAGGAGAGAGGATCCATATCCATTATTACATAGAGTGAAATTATATTTCCTGTCCAACATATTCCATACAATCTGCCCGAGTCAGTAATGTTCTGTCCTGTCAACTGATATTCTCTCTTATCTTAGGGGGGAAAAAAACAAAAAAACAACTATCATTTACATGAAACAATGTCAGTGAATTTTATCCGAGTTTCTTTGTGAGCTGTTAAAAACAAACTGAGCTGAGAAATATAAAATCTAACTCTCTACACTGACCTGATCAACCATCAATCAGCTGCTGGTTTCACACGTCTGGACGTCGACGTTCACTGCTGCACCTGAACGGGTTCAACTTGGACCAGAAAAACAAAAAACCAAAACGGGAAAGTGACAAATATAAAACCGTATATTTTCTACAAATATGCAACAGGAAACTCATGACTGAGAAAAAAAAAAGAAAGACCGAGGTCTGAAGCCCCCGGGGCAGTGATGACATTAAAAACAAAGGAGGGTCTGTGACCAACTACACTGCACCACAGAACCGTCACACAAAAACCAGACTGAAGTATCACTGAAACCATTCACTTACCACTACTTACAGACAAAAACATCGATTCATACATTTGTGGATCCCCGCGTTCTTTAAACGTCGTTTGATTTTTATATGCAGACGATCCACTAATTGCGAAGTTTCTGTGGTATCTGCTGGTTTTTACGACACTCCAGAGAAGAGCGCAGCGGGACATGTAGGGACTGCTGGCAGAATCAGGTTAGCTGTCCCCATGTGGGCGCCCCCTGCTGTTGTGTCCTTAAAACGATAATAACAATTTTAACTTTATTGATCCCACATTTGGGAAATTCTGCAGATGTACTTGCAACAGGCTGCCACTTGGAGGCGCCAGGTATGTGGTTCCTCTCAACTCTGTTTGCGAGGCAGGCGTGCTAACCGCTAGCATAGAATTTACAGTGCGAGATGATGCGACAGGAGGCGCCATTAGGGATATTTTTTTTTTTTCCTCTGGGAATTGAACCCAGGACTCTCTGCTTTTAAGGCAGGCGTGCCAACCGCGACAATATGGAATCACAAAATGAAGTATAATTTATGATTTCGCACGTCACTGACCGAGACCTGAATCCTCACCTCACCCGTTCTAAGAACCGACACTAAATCTGGCCCTGACCTTTGACCCGGGGGAGGGAAAGTGAGCGCAGCAGCTGCTGACGGTCATTCATCTTCAGTGAAACCTGTCCAATAATTCCCATCAGCTTCGAGGCCGCGGTGTGAACAGCGAAAGTTGTGTTTTTTACGGTCGGATCAGAAAACTCAACGACGGCGGCGCGTGTTCCTGCAGTCGGGCGTTCGTCGCCCGACAGCTGACTGAACCTCTTCCTGCCCTCTCTGGGAGGAAGGATGTGGCTCTGCTTTTAGTCGTCTCCCTGATGAGGCCACGTGCTAATACTGCTGTCATGTCCTGGGGAGAGAGAAACCTAATTACTGGCTGCTCACTCTTCCTGCCCCCACCCCCCCCCTCCCTCCGGCCCCCCCTGCGCGCACAGACACACACTATTAACTGGATTGAAAATCCAAAGGGAGATGAACTGTAGCCGAGTCCGACCTTTTCCCAGATGTGAACGTTTGTTACGAAACCAAACAGTTTTTTAATTGAACCTCTTTTTTTAAAAGACTTCTTGGTGAAAAAAAAAAAATTCTGATTTCACAATATAATTCAAGTCGTCACGGTAGGGTGTGTGTGTGTGGGGGGGGGCGGGTCTACTGTCTCTTTGAAAAGGGTGAGACAATTATCTCTCTGGAGAGAAAACAGAGATGCGGTAAGTGGTAAATAATAAATGTGTTTATGGGAGAATTGAAGTTTTTTTCTTTTCCTGGGTTTTAAATATTCTAACATGAAAAACCACTAACGCAGCCCATAATAAGAGGCTTCAGCGTCGGCTCTGATTCCAGAATTGTTGATGCACTTTTTTTACTCTGAAGCTGGACTGTGTAGGGAGTGAATATTTCATACCGACTGTCACTGAAGAGTACGTTAAACGATAGTGAAATACAAACCCTCGTTGATGTACGTGTGAAAAGTCAGGAGAAAAAGGAGGAAAGTTCCAGTGAACCATGAACCACGAGTGAAAGAAAAGAGAACAGGACGACGAGTGTAATCAACAAATATATCATGTTCATTTTCTAGTTCTCCAAATAAAATCCAACCATTTCAAAATTAAGACAAACTCATGATTTAATTGTTAAAAGTAGGGATGTCCGATATTAACTTATATATATATCTGATGTGCTAATACTGACGTACAAATTAAGTGATTCCAACACATTAGTTGAAACCCAGTCATTGTGTTATTGTGTTTTCATTATCGGAAGAAAAAAACCACAACGATTCTCACAGATTAAGCTAAAATCAGGTCGATAATGTCGGACATCCGTCGTTAGGAGTTAATAAGCCTTGGTTGGTTTTTCACATTAGGGTTGATGACTCTAATCACACTCACATACACACAAGCACCCGTGCACACACACACACACACACACACGCACAAAACCCTGTTGCATTTCAAGAAAATAAATGCTTTACTCAAGTGAAGCTAACTGTGCTAATATCCTGAGAAACTTGGCTAATACTTACAGTAGCACTAAAGGCTAGGCCATCACGTCGACTGAAAGACCCATATTATTCTTTGGTAATTTCTGCTAATAAATTTCGGAGGGTCACCACCAGAGGTCACGAGAGTTTGTCTAAGGCTGGTCAGCGGCGGCGGGAACGCTGGCCAGAGCAGGAATCAGCCTCTGGTAGATGCCGATGCCCTTCAGGAAGCCCTGCTCGTTCAGGTACTCGTTGTGGTCGTGCAGCAGGATCGGCGTCCGGTTCATGGGTGAGAAGCCGATGGCAGGGATCCCCACCTGGGTACAACGACAAATGACAAACGGCAAAGACAAAGAAATGAACGAAGCGGTGACACGACGATGTGTGACGTTTCCGTTGAACTGGTACTGGTCCAGTACTCACTGCTCGTATGAAGCGACTGTCGGTGGCGGCAGGAAAGATCTCCTTTTCCAGAGTCAATTTCCTACAAAAAAAGAAAATATTGACATTTGGATTGTGCAAGAACACACGCAGCTCTGTACTGACCATCAGCAGCAACGATCACGTTACACACTTCCAAAAAACACACACACACATACATATATTTATATATCTGTGTATATAAACACATATAAACAAAAAATATATATACATATATACTTATATATGTATAGATGCACATACATATATATTCATATATATACACATACATATATATACATATATACATACATATACATATACATATATATACACATACATATATATACATATACACATATATACATACATATACATAT